GATTTTCGAGACAGGGTTTCTCCAAAGCTTTTGGAGCCTGTCCTGGAACTAGCTCTTGTAGACCAGGCTGGCCTCAAACTCACAGAGATCCGCCTGCCTCTGCCTCCCTAGTGCTGGGATTAAAGGCGTGCGCCACCACTGCCCGGCCTACTTAGCACCACCGCCCGGCTCCCTGGCTTCAAATTTAAAAAGTAAAAACCAAGGATATAGCGTGGTGATAGAGTACTTGCCTACCTTGTCCAATGCCCTCAGTTCAATACCAGTATTGAAATACATAAAAAAAAAGAAAAGAAAAAGCTTATAACCACATCTCAAAATTCCAATAATGCCAGACAGGTGTGGTGGTGATGTCTATAATCCCAGCATTCAGAAGACTGATGCAGTGGGGCTGGAGAGATGGCTCAGAGGTTAAGAGCATTGCCTGCTCTTCTAAAGGTCCTGAGTTCAATTCCCAGCAACTACATGGTGGCTCACGACCATCTGTAATGGAGTCTGGTGCTCTCTTCTGGCCTGCAGGCATACAGACAGAATATTGTATACATAATAAATAAATATTTTTTTTTTAAAAAAGAAGACTGAGTCAGGAGAATTACCTCAAGTTCAAACCCTACAAGTTCTAGACCAAGCTGGACTACGTAGTAAGATCACACCTCCCAGCTGGGCGGTGGCGCATGCCTTTAATCCCAGCACTTGGGAGGCGGAGGCAGAGGCAGGCAGATCTCTGTGAGTTCGAGACCAGCCTGGTCTACAAGAGCTAGTTCCAGGACAGGCTCCAAACCACAGAGAAACCTTGTCTCGAAAAAACAAAAAACAAAAAATAAATAAAATAAAAAAAAAATAAACAAAAAACAAAGCCTGTGTCTCCTCCTGCTCAAGTCAGGGTCTCTCATAGCTTAGGCTGGCTTCAAATTTATAACCAAAGATGACCTTGGACATCCGATCTTCCTGCCTTCAATTCCTCGAGGGCTGTGATTACAGATGTGCTACCCATCCTGCTCCAATTGCTGTGACAGAACACCGTGACCAAGGCAACTTCTAAAAGAAAGTATTTAATTTGGGGCTCACATTCCCAGAGAGTTCACATCCACAAGGGTGGCAGAGGGAGCACTCTGGGAATGGTGTGAACTTTTGATACCTCAATGCCCAGCCCGAGTGACACATACATCTCCTCTGGCAAGGCTACACCTCCTAGTCATTCCAAGAGTTCCTCCATCTGAGCACCAAACACTCAAACTCACGAGCCTGTGGGGGCCACTCTCATTCAGATCATGGGGGGGGGGATAGAGTATGGGGGTGGGGAGACTTGACAAAACAATTCAGTCAAAAAAAATTTCCATTGCTGCCTGCTCTTCCAAAGGTCCTGAGTTCAATTCCCGGCAACCACTTGGTGGCTCACAAACATCTGTAATGAGGTCTGGTGCCCTCTTCTGGCCTGCAGACATACACACAGACAGAACATTGTATACATAATAAAATAAATATTTTTTTTAAAAAAATTCCAAACTTTAAGACAAGAAATCTTCATATTAAAATTTATTAAACCTCAGACAGAGTAAAAACAGTAAAACCATACAAAACCAATCACTGTATTGCTTAGCGAGGGATCCATATGTGATAAAGGCAACACCAGCTTTACCAAGACCCAAGAGTGGTTACATCTCTGGAGGATAAAAGGAGACTCTATACATAAATGAATTCTTTGACTCAAGTGACTAAAAAGGGCAAATGTGTATTCTTTCAATTGCACCATAGATACAAGCTTTCCACTGCAGGTGTAGTTTGGTGTAGTGTGCTTGGCTAGCATTCCTGAAGCCCTGGTCTCCCCCCCAGCACCACACCCTTGTCATTGGCACACACCTATAATCCTGGCACTTGGAGAAAGAATACATCCATCTCCTGAGTGTTGCATTTCCAGGCACCTACCACCACTCCAGGCTAACACACCTGCTTCTAACAGTAGCTGCTCCTTAACAGTCAAGGTGACCGTGCCTAACTCTTCAGTGCTCAGGACGCTCAACCAAGGATGTCCGGTGAGGCATGGCTAAGCCTCTATGATTAAGGTCTGGCTCAGACCTGAGGCCTGTTCTTCCTGGTACATCCTTCCTCTGTGCCCGCACCCATTTGTTGTGTTGTGGAGGCTTCTGAATTGGTGAGCCCAACATGGTCCCTTAAGTGTTAAGATGGAGTCACCTTTCTGTAGCCAACACCTGGCATAGGACTGGGCCTGGGTCTATCGAACACCTATGGCAGGTGCCAGCTCTTAGGGAAGAAACCCACATTGAGGGCAGGGATATTTGGGGTTCTGGCTCTGCCACTGGGTGGCTTAGCCAAGCTCCTTAACCTTTTTAACTTTAAACCTTTATTGAGCTCCTACAAGGAGGATGACTTAAGGCCTAGCTCCTTTCTGTTAGCTTAATGTTCAGTAAAATGGCCGACTGAATCCAGAAGACAGCCAGGGTGAGCTACCAGACACTTATTGTCCCTCAGAACCAGAGGGGACGGGAGGGGAGACAGCCTGAAACTGGGTGGGCGCTCACACCTGCAACTCAGCCTGGGCGCCACAGTGAAACCCTTTTTCAAAAGCAAAACCAAACAAAAGCCAACAAGAAAGGTGCTTCCTGCCAAGACTGACAACCTGAATTCAATCCCAGAGCCACACACGCTAGGAGATCACTGGCTCCCCAAAGTTGTCTCTGACCTGCACACGAGTGCACACAATAAATATACTTTTTAAAAAATACATAAATGACCTGCAACCTGATACCTGGGCCAGGTAGAGAGGACGTTATGGTGGGATTTGTCCTGAGCCCTCCCATTCCCCACACCAGTTTATAAACAGCATATACACTGTGTTTATTGGGGACATTCAACACCAAGGTTAGGAGGGAGAGCAAGTGGAAGGGAAGGAATGGACAGTGGCCCCAAGCAGCATACACTTCCGTGATGGGCACTGCTTCATGGTCAACCTTGAAGGGCGTGTCTGCAGGGTGCTCGGGAGGTCTCCCCAGACTGCTGTTGGGGACAAGCAATACTTGCAACAATTTGTGGGGATAGAGAGAATCACTATCTGTCTCTCTCAAATCTCCTCTTTCCTGGAGTTTACCCCCATGACTATCAGTGTCCTTGAGACTGATTTTGGCTTAGTTTTGGTGGCCCCATGGAATGCCAGATGTGTGTCCTGTAGTGAAGCATTCCGGTTGAGACCTGGGAAGAGAAACTCTGGGCACATGGATGGTGAAGGCCAGAGGGAGCCTGATGCGGTGCATAGAACGTTTTCAGTACCTTCTAATACTAAGATGTCTTTCCCATGGTCCGGCCCTGGGCACTGTGGAAGACCCAGGGAGAGAACATGGCTTCACGGAATAGGCAGGCATGAGAGTGTTCCCTGCTGTTGACGGACAGGAGAAACTAAGTCCAGTCCATGGCTCCATCTTCTCATCTGGATAAATAGCAGAAGTCACTAATTCCTGAGAGGCACCATATTTTTGAGGAATCCACGCTGGTGTCAAGAGCTTCACGTGAGCCTCCTCACCACTTCCTGTCTCCATCTGAACTTTCACCTGCCCCAGAAATGACCCAGTCTGGGGCAGTAGGGTCTTGGTTTAGAGAATCCAGGAAAAGGAGCTAAAGCCCCTGACCAGGAGCAGGAGGACCGCCCATCTGTCCGTCCTCCTGTTTGCTGTTGGCCTGAGGCATCGGGAAGTCTGGCACGCGCTGATGAGTTTTTTGGTGTTGCTTGAGATGGTCGGATCTCATGAACTGCCGGCCACACTCCAAGCATTTATGTGGCCGGTCTCTGGTGTGGATCCGTCTATGTCGTTTGAGCTCATCAGAGCGGAAGAAAGACCACGTGCAGCCTTCCCAGTCACACACGTAGGGCTTCTCACCTAGGGAGGCACGAGGGAAAGTTAAACCGAGCAGAAAAAACCACAGTGGGAAGAAAGAGATCTAGTTCTGGGGCAAGTGGATTTAAAGTAGAGAGATCAAAAGGGAAGAGGAAGGAACCAGTGGGAGGCAGGACCACCAGATGGAATGGGGAGCTAGTGGGACCAGAGGGCTTGATTCCAAGCTTGGAAGAGAAAGGGCCAATCCCAATAAATCAGTGGTCCTGCATAAATCAAAAAAAAAAAAAAAAAAAAAAAAAAAGAAAAGAAAGATGGCCAGACAATTAATTGGCTCAGTTGTTGCATTTTTTGCACTTGCAGGATCCAGGTTCAATTCCCAGCACCTATATCTGTTCACAACCATCTGCTTAACTCTAGTTCTGAGGGATTCAAGCTTCTTCTGACCTCCATTGGAGGGACCAGGTATGCACGCAGTTTGCAGACATTCATGAAGGCAAAATACTCATTCACATAATAAAAATCAAAAACATTTTTTGAAAGAGCAAAGATCCCTGCATCCCTTTCTCCACCCAACACCTCACTCACCTGTGTGTTTACGCTCATGACCCACGAGGTGAGAACGCTTGGTGTAAGCTTTCCCGCAGTTATCATACGGGCAGACATGAGGCCTTGAAGGTGGAGATGGCCTCCCAGATGCCTCTGCTGAAGTACTGGGGCTCTCTGAACCCTGTGGACTAGGTGTGGGCTGCTCAGATACGAAAGGTCCTTCCTGGAAACTTGACTGTGTCACAAGCGAGTCCTGGGAATCTAAAGTCAGCAATGGCTGAAGCTTAGCTGGGGGCATCCCAAGATTGTAGGGATTTAAGTGCAGCATCCGATCCATCGAGGGAGGCATGGCACAGGCCCCGCTGGGAGCCATGCCTTGGACCAACAACATTCCATTGCTTAAAGAGCCTGTGGTAGCAGGTACTGTTGAGGGGACAGGATAAGGCATCAGTGGGACATTGCTGCAGGCCATTACTGGGACGCCGCTGGAAGCTGAGCCTAGCAGGCCACTGTGAGGCATCATGTTCACTCCCACCAGAGTACCTGGACTCCCTAAGGCCATCATTCTGCCGGGTTGGTGGATAGATGGCGGCTGATGATACATCTGGGAAGGTGTAGGAGGCAGCGGGGAGGAGTACCTCACACCATGCTCAGGTAGGGACAGAATGACCTGTGACCCCCCTTCACCCTCACTCTGCCTGGACTCCTCAGCGGATAACACATACGGCCTTGACATATTGGATGCGTGTTGAGTGGCGGCTGGAGTGGGTGGCTGATGAACTCCACCGTTCCCAGAAGGCACTGGCAGATGCAGCATTGGTGTCGGCGTCTCGTTTTCCTATAAGAAAGAGACAAGTGAACCAAAGTCCGCTTTGCTCTACTCCTCGGCTCCACACACCTCTCCTCCACACCCCTAAGCAGAGGCATGAAAGGACCATGGCTTATGTCCACCTCAGGCTGGCTGGAACTCGCTGTGCAACCGAGGCTGTCGCCTACTTCTATCATTCCCTCTGCCTCGTTCTATTGCTAAGTGTTAGGTTTAGACATGAGCTGCTACGCCTGACTTACAGATGCTATATTCATCAAGGGACCTATTTGGTTTGGATGCTGTGGCCCTTGTGATATTTGAATCCACCTGGGATAGCTCACCATTTTATTGGAATTCTGTCTGGTCAAATCTCCAGTGACAACAGGGATGTCAAGGGTCAGTTCTCAGCTCTTCTGAACTCCAGAATGGGCACAAGATTAAGACCTGAGCTGGGTAAGCTGTGCCAGTGAATGAAGCTTTGGCACAAACTGAATTCCAATCCACAGATCCCATGGAAAGTCAGGCTCAATAACAAATGCATCTAGAATCCCAATGATTAAAAAAAAAAGCCTAAAAACTAGGCCAGGAGGTGGTGACTCCCGCCTTTAATCCCATCACTCGGGAGGCAGAAGCAGGTGGATCTCTGTGGGTTCTAGGTCAGTCTGGTCTATAAGAGCTAGTTCCAGGACTGGCTCCAAAGCTAGAGAGAAACCCTGTCTCAAACAAACAAACAAAAACCCCTAAAAACTATATATGAAAAACCTTTCTTCCTGCATGTGGGTTCCAGAAATTGAACCCGGATCAGACTTGTCAGCACTCACCTTTACCTGCTGAGCTACCCCAGACCTTTATAGCTCAGCAAATACTGGCTGTGTCTAATGGTTAAGCACTGTTTTATTAATGGTGCACAGAATGAGTCATTTTTATGCATGTGAAGCTTTTGGTTTTGATGATTCAAAATACTAATGACTCAATACCTTCCTTCCTTCCTTCCTTCCTTCCTTCCTTCCTTCCTTCCTTCCTTCCTTCTTTCCTTCCTTTCTTCTTTTCTGTAGTTTTGGGACCTGTCCTGGAACTAGCTCTTGTAGACCAGACTGACTTCAAACTCAGAAATCCACCTGCCTCTGCCTTCTGAGTGCTGGGATTAAAGGCATGTGCACCACTGCCTGGTGACTCAATACATTTAAAATTAAACTGCAAATCACTAGATTAGGGACTTCAGGACTTCAGAATGCTAATGTGGCTATTAGTCACCTGTGTTACATTAGAAATTTTAAAAGCATTCCATTGTTGGCTCAAAAAACTGAGATCTAGACTAGAAATATAAAAATAAATATATAAAACTATATATAAATATATATAGTAAATATATATATAACTATATACCAACTATATACAGAAGCTACATGGAATCTAGGTTGACACCAATTTCCGTGAGAACCACAAGGAAAATAGTTACAGATTAGACCCAAAAGGAATTGGTGAGCTGGATGTGTTGACACATAGGTGGCAGAGGCAGGCGGATCTCTGTCTGCATAGTGAGTTCCAGGATAGTAAGTCAAGTGGTGGTGGCGCAGGCCTTTAAACTCAGCACTCAGGAGGCTGAGGCAGGCGGATCTCTGAGTTCGAGGCCAGCCTGGTCTACAGAGCGAGTTTCAAAACAGTCGAAGATACACAGAACCCATCTTTGAGCCGCCCCCCCCCCAAAAAAATTTAACTCAGGCCATAATCAATGGAGTCTGACAAATTGCTCCGATAAACGTTTTTCCTCTCCACCCTTCTGCAGTACACAACCCCCCCCCCACACACACACACACAAAGCTGAGCCGAACCCTCCCGCCTTCACCACCCAACCCAGGCTCTAATGCTTGATTGAAAACATACTTTAATGACTAACCAAGCCTCCTTTTTGCTTCGGTCCTCTTCCTTCCAACCTTCATTCGGTTCTCCACCACCACCCTGCAACACCCTAGGGTAGACCACAGACTCACCTTGGGAGGCTGGTGCGCAGCCAGCCACTCATCTTCCCGCTCCATGTCGGCCTGGGCGCAACTTTGGACCAGAGGTGTGCCTAGCAAGACTGGTGCCGTCACAGGGAAGTGTCCTAACACCACTACGCCACAATCCCAGCGGCCGGTGGACCTTCTAAAAGCCTCCAAGGCTGGGCGGAGCCAAGGCCACACCCACCCAGGACCCTCCCACCTAGCGCTCAGCCAATCACACAACTCCTTAGCAGGCCTGACGCCTGCAAGGGGGACAGGGTCCCTGATAGGAAAACCTCTGACCTTTACTCATTTTCCCTCCCCTTTGGTTTTGCTTTTTTGTTTTTGTTTTGTTTTGTTTGTTTTTGTGGCTTTTGGAGAGAGGGTTTCTCTGTAGCTTTGGAGCCTGTCCTGGAACTAGCTCTTGTAGACCAGGCTGGCCTCGAACTCACAGAGATCCGCCTGCCTCTGCCTCCCAAGTGCTGAGATTAAAGGCGTGTGCCACCACCGCCAGGCTAAAAAATAATTTTTAAGGAGAAATAAACCAGGCAGACCAATCTCCGAGTTCAAGGCTATCCTGGTCTATATATTGAGTTCCTGAATGGCGAGGGCTACAACTTTGAGACTCTGTCTGAAAAATAAGTTAGCAATAGACTTTTGAATCTGGCATAGTGGTACACACCTGTAAACCCAGTGTTTGGGAGGCAAAGACAGGAGGATCCTGAGTGTGGGGACAGTCTGGGCTACATAGTAAGACTCTGTCCCTCCAAAAATAAGCAAACCCAAGGCAAGTTACAGAATAAAATTTAGCTGTTTCCACTGGACTTATGACAGATTGGATCAAAACAAAAAGGAGTGTGTGGGAGTGGTGTGTGTGTGTGTGTGTGTGTGTGTGTGTGTGTACGCTCTTGGTCAGTATGAGACATTCTAATATAACAGCTGAACCAGTTAGTGTAGTGCTCCACTGGGTTGATGGTGGGAACAAGCATTTCCCCGAGTCCCGGAAGGTGACTGAAGCCTCTCCCTTTGTCGGGAATGCTATCAGAAAGGCTTATAGGGCTTAGAGACATCTGCAGGATGCTCTAAGATTGTCTATGCAGCATCCAGTCGAGAATTCCAGAGAGGGTGGTTTGGTTAGAAGCCTAGAAAGCCGATCTGGGTGGAAAGGTAGATTTCAGCCGGGTGGTGGTGGCGCATGCCTTTAATCCCAGCACTCGGGAGGCTGAGGCAGATGGATCTCTGTGGGTTCGAGGCCAACCTGGTCTACAAGAGCTAGTTCCAGGACAGGCTCCAAAGCCACAGAGAAACCCTGTCTTAAAAAAAAAAAAAAAAAGGTAGATTTCAGACTCGACGCCTCAAGGGTAAGAGATCACAGGGGATTAGAATGCGGAGGGAGAGGGCTCAGGACATACCCAGGACTGGGTTGTGATCAATGAGCCAGGACTGGGTTGTGATCAATGAGATGACCCAATAAGCAGACAGGAAATGTAAAGTCAAGTTTTCCTTACTAGCCCTGCTCAGGTTTGTGTTTGTTTGTTTTTGTAGCTGGGCTTTTTTTTTTTTTTTTTTTTTTTTTGAGTTAGGGTTTCTCTGTGTAGCTCTGGCTGTTCTGGAGCTTGCTAGTCTATAGTACAGGCTGGCCTTGAAATTGACGATCTGCTTGTTTCACTACCAAGTGCTGGGATTAAAGGTGTGAGCCACCATTACCCACCCTGTTGCTTTGCTTTGTTTTGTTTTAATGAGACAGGGTTTCTCTGTGCAGTTTTGGCTGTTCTAGAACTTAGACCAAGCCGGCCTCGAACTCACAGACATCTGCCTGCCTCTGCCCCCTGAGTGCTGGGATTAAAGGCGTGTCCCACCACCACCCGGCTCTGTTTTCTTTTAATGAGACAGGGTTTCTCTGTGCAGCTTTGGCTATTCTGGAACTCTACTCTGTAGACCAAGCCAGCCTCGAACTCACAGAGATCTGCCTGAGTCTGCCCGCCCCCCCCCCCCCCCCCCCCAGTGCTGGGATTAAAGGCGTGCGCCACCCCTGCCAGTCCCACCCTGATTCAGATCAATGGATTTAATCCTCAGCTCTATGAAGAAAAAAATGCTAAATGCATAAACTCAAAGAACAGAAATTGCAAAAGAGTTCAGGTCATTTATGAAAAGTAATTTATTTATTTATTTGTTTATTTTTGTTTTGTTGCCATTTTTTTTTTTTTTGAGACAAGGTCTTACCATATAGTCCTGGCTGTCCTAGAACTCATTCTGTATACTGGCCTTAAAATCACAGAGTTCTGCCTGCCTCTGTCTCCTGAGTTCTGGGACTAAAGGCCTGCACCACCATCTTGGCCTATGAAAAGTTTTAAACCATGCAAAGGAATACTAGATTTTTATGGATGTATACAACAGATTTACTAAAGATATAAATTCACTCATGGGAGTGACAAGTGGTCCATTTAAGATGGCAATAAAAAATATTGAAAATATGTTCACTTAAATAAAGTATGATTTTAACAATTTTGTTTGTTTTTTTTTCTCTGTGTAACCCTGGAACTCACTCTGTAGACTAGGACTTCATAGATCTCCCTGCCTCTGCCTCCTGAGGGCTGAGATCAAAGGTGTGCACCAACAGGCTATAACAATTTTTTTTTTACACAAACACACACCCACACATATACACACACCCCAATTCAGAGTCTCACTATGTAACCCAAGGCTGGCCTTAAACACAAAGATCCTCCTGGGGCATGGACCACCGTGCGTGGTTTGAATTATTTGTCTGATCAAATTACTTAAACCTTGTTTTTGTTGTTGCTGTTGTTAATGTTGTTTCAAAGGCTTAAGCCTTCTGTTTATGCCCCTCGGGAAGAAGGAAAGCCTTTGTGTTCCAGGCCGTCTGAGACTCTGTCTCACTGATTAGGGAGAGAACTGAGAAACTACAGCCTGGGGATAAATAAACTTTAAATCTTACTGTGGACACCTGAAATATTCTGTCTTCCTAGAGTGTTAAAATCAAGGCCCTTTGTTTTCCTTGATTTATGGGGACTACAGAGCATTTAC